ACTATAAGATATATGTATACACATATAAGATATATTCACATATACAATATATACCTATATATACGAATATAATCAGGAATACTAACACTGTGAGACGTTTAGAACTTCCATTTCCTGTACACATACATAAAATATATCCTCATATATATCAATCTCGACGGAAGACTATTAATTACCCATGGTATAAATAGAAGGGGACAGGAGACGAGGAACACGCTGCACGACGTCGGAAACGTCCAAAGACGTCGACAGAAAGTTTATTCAGCGACGGAAATTAAAGGTTGGGACGTGTCTGGGGAAGAAGAAATCAATACCTCGTTGATTTGGTGTACAATGAACGGCGTTGGAAACCTGCAAAGATGTCGACGAGAATGAACGGCGACAGGAATGAATGGGAATGAACGGCGTTGGAAACATGCAAAAGAAATAAATACCTTGTTCATAAAAGCCCTGAAGATGGAAAATGAAGGTGAGGCAGTCGACGTCTTTGCACCTTGGAAACGAAGACAGCGGTGAAGAAAATCGGCTTTGCACGGTGGCTGGAGAAAATCGACAACAAACAAGGAAAGAGAATCGGCAGCATTTAATTCATTTCACAAAATTGGAAGTTGTTAATTGGTGAGAGAAAAAAATCTTTTTTGAAGGAGAGATTTGAGAAATTAAGGTTGAAATTTTGAATGGGGCCACAAGAATTAAATGAATATAATTACAAATTAAGGATTCAAATCTTTAAAATTTAAAAATTATAATAAAATAAAAAGCAATAAATAAGGTAGAAACGATATTAAAATAAAATCCTAACTGCAAATATCTAAAAGTGTAAATTTTGAAACCGAAACACATTCATGTAATTAAGATTTCAAAATAGCCCTCCCAAGATATTATCTCTTTAAAAAATCTACCATGATATATAATATATCTATATATTAACCAATCAAATTAATTTTTAAATATTTTTGGAGAAAAACTTGAAAAGTATACCAACAAAGAAAAAGAAAATCATTTTGAATGTAATATAATTAGACAAACTTCTTCTTAAAAGATCTTTTCAAAAAAATGTAATATCTATATTTATTAAAAGTTTGACACCCAAAGTTCAGTGAGGTAAAAATCTAGAAAGAAATGACTTAAAATAGTATTAAATTTTCGTTGACATGTYGACATTTTCATTCACATTTCTGTATATCCACAGGTTCGACATTAATATAAGGGATGAATTGACATTTCAATAGTATGACAAAAAATATCAACAAAATACCCCTAATATCAACCTAGTATAAATATTAATAATTTTAATTTGTCTGAACAGAGTGAAATATTTATTTGTTGTGTGAATTTCCTATTTTTATAATCTTTTTCTAAAAATATTCATCAAAATTGATACTTTTATCTACATTTTACAAAATTGAGACCTCAACGTCGAGACACTTGAAATCTTACTTGAAGATCCTTTCTCGCTGCAGATTGAATGTTATTGCAACTGAAAGGTGGTTGGATGGTAGTAGTTGGCTTTTAAGTTACTCAGCCAAGTTTCCAACTTGCAAACGAATCACCAATAAAATAAAATATAAGGTATGGTATGGACATGCAGAAGCTTCCTTTGTCAGCAATTGTTGGCGTAGATATGGGCATTCCTGTTGTAACCATAAAGGTCTGCACAAAACTCGAAACCGACCCCAAAGTTACAAAGCACGAACGCTTTAGTATGGATAATATGTTTGTGCCTAACATGTATCAAACATTTCGACACTCTGACACAATCAAATCATCATGTCTTAGCACAATAAACATGAGTCAGACGCTAGTTATAATAAAATTGGAAGAAACTCCGTGTAAGAGAGTTAAAAAAACTTCTTGAATTGGATAATAGAGAAGAAAAGCTCCAATGATGAAACATGTACGACGCATTTACACCAAGAAAATACCAAATAAACTACAGCGTCGAAAAATCGATGAAGAAGATTTGTTGATTTCTTTCTCACCAATGACCCATAGAAATGCTACTGTAAAGTTCATTCACAGTAACTTCTTTTCCATTTTAAAAGGATGACCAGCAAGAACAATTTTAAAGAGAAATGTGGGATTATTGGGTAGTACCACTGGGATTATTGGGTAGTACCACGTACTGTTCAAACTTTGTTTGAATATTACCCCAAAAAAGTGTGGTTGTGTCACATGTAACAAAATATGTTGCTATGTTTCACAGCTTTTGTTGCAAATCGGGCACCATCGAGGCATCCTATGTTGAAGCTTTTCATGACGTATGATTTTGTGACTAATCCCCCATAAAAATAATTTTACCTCTTCGAGGTGTATCCATGTCTAATATGTGCCAATAATTTCAACACCCGAACACACGTCGCACCATTATGTATTAGCACAATAAAAATGTGTCAAACACTAGTTATATAAATTGAATACGAGTTCAACACTAGTTAGGCACATATGGGACACGCATTACAGAAGATGGGTAGACATAAATAGTAATAGAAGTAGAACACAAAAATAATAAGGTTATGCATAAGGTTATTGAATTCAAATTTTCTTTTTTATGAAAATTAT